ATTTTCCTTGCTTTCAATCCTTTGTAATCGTGTAAGTAGTAAGATGACCTTATCAATGAAAATTTGTAGAATTTCCCCATGAATCTGGGACTGGTGCTTTTTCCCCTTCTCAATAGAAAAGCCATTTTATATTTATTTTATGACCTGCATAGCTTTTCTGCCTCAAATTAAGACAGATTTGGTAAGTATTTTCTAAAACATTTTTATCATGTTTCAACTTGTAAAACTGTATTAAAATTTTTAATGTCTTTTTTGGGAATCATTTTATCTACCTTTTAAACATTGTTGTGTATTTGTGTTTTCTCTATTTCATATTATTTGTGTTAGGTAATATTTTGTCTGCTTTCATTTTATGTTCATTAATTCCACTTCTTTTTCTGTTTTGAGCTCATTACAAACTCAAGTATCTTTTAACTAAAATTGATGCCTTGGTGGCTCCCTTTTCAGAAAGTGCTCCTGGTTATGATGGGTCAGGCTGCCATTTCATTGCACATGTCAGAGCCATGGTGCTTGTAACAGGTTTTGTGGAAGCTGTGAGTGCCCACAGGGTTGCTATGGACAAGATTGTGAACATGGTAAAAAGTGGAAATAATTGTGATGTTTATATGTTCTGAGCTTTCAAAATAATTTTAAATCAAAACATTACTATAGTTACATTACACTAAATTAGATAACCTTTTCGAATATATTCTTGCAATTAGATCTAATTTAATAGCTCATTTAAAAATTTTAGATATTTTCAGCTGTCATAATGAAAAAAATAGACTTTTAAGTTCTTTTAGGCATTTCTTTCCATGAAACAGTTCTGTGATTCCATGAATATTTGGGGCAGACAGGCAGAAGACACAACTAGCTGTGAATCTTTCTAGAAAAAGAAATAATCCTTTTCCTACCTGTTTTTAGGCAATAATAGTTGAGGAAGCTAATTATTTCTGACATGTTAATCTACACTTGACTGAAAGTTCTGTTTTCAAGTTCTCTTGAGCATATTAGTTTGTGTATCTCTCCACTTAGACTCAGTTTTTTCAGCTAAAATTAGTAAATATTAGAATTATATAATGTGTCTTTGGCATCAGAATATCCTAATGGACAACACAATTAAGAGATTAAGATGTGAGAGTTTAGGCTCTAAGTCAAAGATAACTAGCTCTGCAGGTTTCACCATTTATAGAACGTGTCTAAAACACAGACCTTAGAAGATTATCGTTATGAATTAAGTGAGACGCAGTACAATTAGCACTGGGACAAATGCAAAAGCTTGGTGAATATTAGTTATTTTTAATGTAAAGAGTTTTCTGAAGTCTCTTAAATGATATTATTAGTTATGTTCCCACTTGTTTTACCTTGACAGATAGTATTTTCTAGGAATAGATCTTATGAATTATTTGAAATTGTAAAGCTCCAAATTGTAGAGTTTTGAGTCAGGGGCTATGGAAACAAATATCTTGTGGTTTTTGTTAGTTTATTTATTTTCTTTTAAAAATTAGAATAAGAAGTAAAAGAGAGGAAACAATATTTTTTTTCAGCTTTAATTGAGTTTATTGGTACATTTTAGGGATACAGTACAGTTACATTCATTGTTGGGATCTTGTACCGCTACATGACGTCTTGATTCTCATTTTTTCCCCTTACCTCTGCCCTCCCTTCACCCCCTCCTCCCCTCCCCATTTACAAACACTTTATTTTCATCTTTTTGTTCTCTCACATTTTTTTCTTTTCCCTTTTTACTCTTCCCCTACCCATCCCACCTTCCCTACACCTTTAAATCAATTCATTTCATAGGAGTATATCTTCAATATGTATCCATTTTCCTATGAATGAATCTATTTTATCATTCTTTATGGCTGAGTAATATTCCATTTTATAGGAAAACCACAACTTCTTTATCCAGTTTCCAACGGATGGGCAAATAGGCTGTTTCCAGGATTTAGCTATTACAAACTGTGCCACTATAAACATGGGTGCACATACTTCTTTGTGATATGATTCTTTTTAGTTCTCTTGGAAAGATACCCAGCAGAGGGATGGCTGGGTCAAATGGAACCTCCAGTCCAAGTTCTTTGAGGTATCTCCATATTGATTTCCATAGTGGTTGCACTAGTCTGCACTCCCACCAACAATGGAGAAGGGTTCCTTTCTCCCCACAACCCCAAAAACACAGGCAAAATGCAGATTTCTAGACACATGGATTACCAAAGTTGAACAAAGAAGATGTACTTAGAATCTTCACATCTTCACATCTTCTTTGTTCAACTTTGATGATCCATGTGTCTAGAAATCTGCATTTTGCCTGTGTTTTCCAGTTTATTAGAGTATGGGTTCTCAGAGTAGGTTATTGATTATCCTCTGGATTTCTGTTGAATCTGTTGTGACTTCACCTTTTTCATTCCTAATGTCATGGATTTGAGCCCTTTCTTTCCTATTTTTGATAAGGTTGACTAAGGATTTATCAATTTTATTTATTCTTTCAATAAAACAGCTCTTCAATTCGTTGATCTTTTGTATCATTGTCTTAGTCACCACTGCATTGATTTCTGCTCTGATTTTTATAATTTCCTCCCTTGAATGAGCTCTGGGTTTGTCTTGTTTTTCTTTTTCTAGGATTTTAAGATGAACTATTAGGTTGTTAATTTGCGCTTTCTCTGTTTTCCTAGTGTGGGCATTCACTGCTATAAATTTCCCTCATAGAACTGCTATCATTGTGTCCCATAGATTCCTGTATGTTGTATTGGCATTTTCGTTTATTTGTAAAAACTGACTAATTTCATCTTTAATTTCCTCTGTGACCCATTGGCTGTTCAGGAGAGTGTTATTCAAATTCTGTATATCTGTGAAGTTCTTGCGATTTCTTTTGCTATTGATCTCAAGTTTAATTGTACTGTGGTCTGATAGTATACATGGGATAACTTCAATTCCTTTTCATTTTTTTTTTTTTTCTGGTAGCGGGGATGGAACTCGGGTCCTTGCGCTTGCAAGGCAGGCCAATGAACCGCTGAGCTAAATCCCCGACCCCAATTCTTTTGCATTTACTTAAACATGCTCTATAAGCTAGTGTGTGATCTATTTTGGAGAATGACCTTTGTGCAGCCAAAAAGAATGCATACTCTGATTTTGTGAGGTAGAACACTCTGTAGAAATCTATTAAATCCATTTGTTCAAAAGCTTGGTTCAGTTCTAGTATTTTGATTTTTTGTCTGGATGACCTATCTATTTGTGTATTTAGGTCCCCCACTGAAATTGTATTAGTGCTTATTGGGTTTTTCATATCCCTTCATATTTGTTTTGTACAGTCAAGGACATTAGTATTTGGTGCATATCTATTTATGATTGTTATCTCTTCCTGTTGAATTATTCCCTTTGCAAGGATGTAGGGACCTTCTTTGTCTCTCTTAATTAGTTTTGGTTTGAAACGTACTTTGTCTGTGAATAAGATAGCTACCCCTGCTTTTTTCCAGGTCCTTGTCACATGGAGAACAATTTTCCATCTTTTTACTCTCAGTCTACGAATTTCTTTGTGGACTAAGTGGGTTTCTTATATGCAGCATATTGTTGGATGTTGCTTCTTAATCAGTCTGCCAGTAGATTTCATTTGATTGGTGAATTGAAGCCATTAACATTGATGATTATAACTGATATGTACTGATTTATCATCATAGTGTTATTATCCTGTTTTTGGCTCTCTTAAAATTTTTCCCCCTGTCCCTTTAATTTCTTGCTTTGCCTGCTGGATTTGCTCTGATGGCCCTCATGGAGTTGTGATCTTAATGTCTTTTTCTAGGATATAATTTTGAATTGTTTGGACTGCTGATTTGCTATTCATGAACTTTCTCAGGTATTCTCTGTCATGGAAATATCATATTTCTCCTTCAATTCTGAAAGTTTTGCAGGATGAATCTGTCTAGGTTGGAGGTAGTTTTCTTTTAAGGTTTGAAATACTTCACTCTAGGCTCTCCTTGACTTGAGGATTTGTGTTGAAAAGTCTGCCATGATTCTTATGGGCTTTCCTTTGCATGTGATTTGTTTTTTTTTTTTTCTCTGCTTGTAGTATTTTTTTCTTCAGTTGGGTTTCTGGTATCTAGATTATTATGTCTATTTGTAGATTTTTTTATCATGGCCAGTTGGAGTCCTGTATGTCTCACTTATCTGTATAGCAAATTGTTTCGCTCTGTCTGGGAAGTTTTCTGTCATTAATTCTGTGAACAGTTTTTTTTTAATGTCATTTGCACCATCTCCTGCTTTTGCATGGACTCCTATCAATCTTATATTATTTTTCTTTGTATAATCTAGGAGCTGTTGGATTGATTTCTCATGTACCCTTACTATTTTTAAGAGATTCTTCTTTTCATGGTCACTGATCTCCATCCTGTCTTCTATATCTGATATTCTGTCTTCAGATTGACTGTCTGTTATGTAAACTTTCAGTAGAGATTTTAATCTTCTGGATGTCTGTTTGAATCTGTTTCATGGTTTCCATTTCTTTCCTATGCTGGGCATTCGTGGCTTCTATCATGGTCCTGAACTCATATATATTTTT